AAATCGGAAGTATGGCACTAGTTAAAGCATGCCTACCGCCCAGCTCGGAGCCCTGCTGATGTAGTGGGTCACACGCTGGGCTGCTAACCACAGGTCAGCACCTCGGAATCAGCTGCTGCTCCTCAGGAGAAAGATAAGGCTTTCTATTCCTGGAAGGAGATGCGGTCTTGGCAATTCCCACGGGGGCAGGAGTGCGCTGTCTTCCAGGGTCACCATGAGTCAGTGAGTTCGGTGTTTTGGTTTGGTGAGTGACAAGCTCTGCCCTGAGTGCTGGCACCAGTGCACACCTGATTGGTGTAATCACGTCACATGGAAAACGGGCCAAATTACAGCGACCTTATGTACCACAGAACGAGACACTGACGAGTCCTGGGCCACACTCACAATTGTTCCCACTTAGCCTTTCTACTTGGGTGTGTAAAGAAGCCTTGGTGGCTCGTGTTTAAAGCGCTTTGCTGCTAGCTGAAAAGTCAGCAGTCTGAACCAACTGGGATAAAGGTGTGGTAATCTACTTCTATAAAGATGTATAGCCTTGGAAACCCGATGGGGCAGTTCTACCCTGTCATACAGGGGTACCATGAGTCAGTTCTAACCAGCCAGCATTAAGTATGGTCCGATTTGGGTATTGGACATTTAGTGGTTTCTCATTTGAGTTTCAATTTGCATTCCTTGATAATGCTTTTGCCCATGATTTCACCTAACAACATCAGTAGATCCCTTTTCATCTAGCATTTGTTCAAGATTTGCCCCCTTTTAATTGGGCTGTTTTTCCTATTACATTGAGTTGTAAGAGTTCTTGATATGTCTGAAAATGCATTTATAGTGCCTTGATTTTTTAAAGATTTTTTTGGATAGAAAGTCTTCCACACTGGTGTTTTCTTTCCGTGAAAGACACTCCCGTCTCCCTGACTTGCATTTCAGAAGAACAATGTGCTGTCATGTGTCTCTCTGCTTTTCTATATAAAATGGGTTTCCCTTCCCCCTCCGACTGCTTTTTGAGCTCTTTCTCTTTCTGACTAATTGTAAGTAGTTTGACGAAGATGCCTGTTGGTTCGCTTATGGCGGGGTTGACTGAGCTCTTGGGCCCTGCTCGTTTCCGCTGCCTTTGGAACGCTGTCATCCAGTGTTTCTTCAAACAGCTTTCTGTCTGTCCCCTCTCCCTCAGGGACTCCAGTGCCGTAGTGATTAGACCACTGTAGTGGTCACAGCTCTCTAATGCTCTGGTCATTAAAAAATTTTTTTTCTGATAATTTTTATTACCATGTCTTCATATTCATATTTTTTCTGCTCTAAACCCTATCCAGACAGAGTTTTCACATCTAGAAGTGGAGTCTGATGTGGTTCATATTTTCCATGGCTCCCCTGAACACAGCCATTCCTTCCTCTACCTCTTGATAAAGTTACAGTAACTTTCGACGTCATCTACTAATTCTGTCATCATTTTGAAATACTCTTCAATGAATTTGTCTTCCTCTTGAATATAGGTCACATTTTTGGGCTTCTTCGCATGCTTGATAACTTTTGACTGGTTATCGATAGTCTGAATTTTGCCTTGGTGGGTGTTGGATACTCTGAATTCCCTGAAACAGTCTTGAGCCTTGTCCCGGGCATAATTCAGTGCATTCGTTTGACATTTCCCAGGCTTGCTTTGAAGCTGTGGAGGTCGTTAGTCCCATTCCTGAGGCCACAGAAGGAGCCCGGGTGACACAAACGTATGCAATCAGCGGCTCGCGCCAAGTGATTGCAGACGGAAGCCCCGTTGGTTGATCCCATGAAGGAAGGTGACTGTCAAGGAAAGTCTCTGCAGCACTCTGCTCTGTGCCACCCGGGCCCCCAGCAGCCACCACCACGCGCTCAGGAAGTACTCTCTGAGGATTCCACCCAGCGGCCAGGCTATGATAACCAGGTTTTCTCCTCGGATTGGTGAGAGCATAAAGACCCCTATCCCCACGTGACCTCGACGGATCTTTCCCTTGTCCTTGGTAAGAAAGCATGCACTATTCCTGCCAACTGGAGGCTTACAGAGGGCGCTCTGTGGGTCTCCGGAGCGCTCTGTATACAGCTCTCCTCCTAGTACGCTTACCTTCCTGCATATCCTTGCCACTCTAGCCTTCCCACGTTCCTGCTTCAGAGAGGCCATGCACTGGTCTTTACCCGAGTCCCTGTCTGCTTTGCAGCCTCGAAGCGGAATCTGGCATAAGCTTTCTCGTCCTGTGTTCCCTCTCCTGGGAATCACTGTCCTGTTGCCCGGTGTCCAGTGGCCAGTGTCAGGGTCTTCCTTTAACAAGGGGAGGGAAATCCCATCTCAGTTTGTTTTTTATTTAATGTTACAAATAATCCAAAGGACAGTATGTGCCTTCCAATCCTTAAAATCTAGCAGGGAAAAGATCCATTTCTCCTTACATTGGAAAATTCCCAATAGAAACAGAATCCCATTTTCCTAACAACAATGCTGACCAGAATAAATCTCTGCTAAATGTGTTATGACTACGAGGCAGAGGAGAAACTTTCTTACAAGAGTTCCTTTACTGTGATTTGTCATAAGCCCGCTCTCCCGTGGACCGTCACCAGTGGAGGCAGGCACCACACCCGAGTTGCATCCTTGCCTCCGTAATTCTCTCCCTCGGTGGTCCTGCCAGATCCTGCACGAGCAACTCTGCAGCCTCAGTCTTTTCCCATTTACACAGATGCTGTTTCTAGCTTTGACAGCAACACAATATGATAGCTCAGAAGCTTCACATGGCTATCAGGAGCCTCGCCAAACGGAAAGCTTTCAGACTGCCAAGTGTTGGAATAACGAACAAACCACTTTCCAAGGAGCACTTTGATGCACACAAGGCAGTTCTAATCATTGCCGAAAGCAGGAGAAGCCCCATAATCTGGCCTGGGAAGATTCTTTTGGGTCAGGGTGGGAATGTGCGTTTGGAGAAGATCCTCCCATTAACAGGCAGAAGTGGCAACACACCTGAGATACTATTAGTAGGCAAGTTCAAAGAGCAGATAAGAGAAAGGATGATTACGTCAATTCTCAATGTCCGGGGTGGACATGTGCTGTGTGCTCATCAACTTAATGGCCAACATAAGGCAGGCTCTCCTGTTACCAAACAAGATGTGCACGGTCACAGTAAGTGCCAAGAAGACGCCAGAAGGTCCAAACCACCTAGTCTTCTTGAATTTCCCTCAATTTTTCAACTAACTATTTCTACTTAACTGACATCTAACTATTTCTACTCAAAAAGGGTTTGCTTTCCAAAATGGGCAGGGGAGCGTCCTACTAGGCAGGTAAGGCCAGACTGAGACCCGACCTAAAGCCCACGAGGGTTATCTTCGGGTCTGCGCCTTCGGACATCGTCTTCATTCCATGCTTTTCCTCCCCACCCCCCTCCAGCCCCGGCCAGCGGCAGGCAGCACCTCGCTGTCTGTACAAAGCATGGTCCGTGGCCAGTGGTGGAAGCACTCAAACCTGTTCATAGCAATTGGCAGTAAGTTCAAACCAGTTGAAATAGTGAAAAAACTAGGATTTATACTTTGCAGTTTAATTTCCTTTTTCTAGGAATTCATTCTTACTGAGCTTTGCAAAAGTAGCCATCTACAGTGAACTGGAGCTCATGAATAAAAGAATGTTTCTTCACTGCAAATATTGTGATCATTTGAGAAGCGCTGCTCTTCATGGTGCCCTTTTCCCTTGACAATCATCTCTAGAGTGGAGGACTGGGGTGTGAGACAAGACCCGAGTTCAGCCGGAGAGGGAGGAGGTCAGCAGGCCCCAGAGAATGACCTGTGTGGCCACAGGTTCTACACTGGGATCTGGCTCCAGGGACTGCTGCTTTAGCTGATTTAAAAGAAAGTATGATCTCAGAGATGTCTGTTATTCCACAAATCAGCTGTAAGATAGCCCCTTGCCCAAACCTCTCCTACAGCTGTTGAATAGCCACAGCATCAGTTTTTCGCCCAGGGTGTCCAAGCTAATCTCGGCGCTGCCTTTACCACCACGTCTACGTCCCTTCTAGCTACCTACAGGATGCCCTGCCACTCCAGGCTCACATACATGCACAACAACACACAAACTCACCGCTGCCAAGTCAATGCTGACTCATGGCGACCCTACAGGACAGAGCAGAATTGTCCCTTCAGATTTCTGAGACTGTCCATTTTTATGGACATAGAAAACCTTGTCTTTCCAGTCCTGAGGAGCATCTGGTGGTTTCAAACTGCTGACCTTACAGTTAGCAACCCAACTTGTAACCACTCCTCCAGGCTCCCCTAAGTTGCTTCATTCCTCCATGCCTCCTCCTTTTCCCTGCCCTCCATATGCTCAACCTTAAAGATGCCTATCGATGCCACTCTCCTCTGTATTATCCAGCATCTCCTCCTCCAATTTTCCTATAGTTCTCTGAATATACATTAGCACGGCTTTGAGAGCATTCTAGATAACGATTTTGTTTTCTCAATCTTCTCCCTACACTTGAGCACAAGTCTGTAGCTTAAGTCTCTTTACTGAGAGAGTTAATGAATACATACATCTGCATAAGTAGAACCAAATCAGGACATGCAAATCCCTGCCAACCATGTAAATGTTTGGGGTTTTTTTTATGTTCTAGCATTTCAGTTTGTTTTTTCTTTCAGCTTATGCTTTGTGACCACTTTAACAGCATAAACGTTTGCATACTAATAAATCGGTGCTTAACGATATTAGGCTTTTTCTTTCGGGTTTGTTTTTTTAAAAAAAAGATTGGAAGGTAACCATTTTCAAGTTCAATTCCACGAATGTGATTTGAGCCACTTTTAAACATTGATTGCCAATCATTTAATACCCAATGAGGAGTTTACAATCAAGAGTTAACAACTGTTGACATTGCTATAAAATACAAATAAAACAAGGCAGAAAGGAAAGCCGTTTCCCCCTTCTTAGATAAAGAAGTCAATTCTTCTTCTGAATGCCAGACCATTCTAGAAACAGCCTCTCCCCCGCGAGAGAGCCCAGCTGTGTGCTTACTCACTGGAGTTGAGGAGGACCATGGCCTTGACACAGAGATACTCTTTGTGTTGCAGTTTCAGCTCACGAAACCTTGAAGTCGTTGCCAGGAGCATGTCAAAGATTTCCAAAATTCCTTCTACACACTTCCCCTCATCCCTACAAAAGATCATTTGGAAATGTAAGGAACGTGGCGCTTCAAGCAACTGCCAAACGCAATCAGGAGCATTTTCTTTCTCTTTTTCTTTTTTGAATATTTTCTTTCTAATCTCAATTTCATCTTGCGCATCCTTTAACTATAGAGCAAGATGCCAACAAGACCATACCTAGTGATGTAAAACGACTAGACTTACCTTTCTATAAAGAAGACCAGGTAGTTACTATAAGTCCCTAAAGCAAACCCTGGAACAAATATTTTTTAGGCAAAAGTATGCATTGTAACTGCATCCTTCTACCTCTTGACCACAGGCTTTCTTAAAGAAAGACTATCTCTGTCGATGATGTTCCATCTGAGTGGTTCCAGCAACCAGCCCTGGATAAAATACACGGTTATTAAAAGGAGGCGCTTGTGCTCCCACCAGGAGAACATCTGGTGCGTTCATGAGGTAGAGTGAACGCTGCGGAAGTAAGGAACTGAAGGAAAAATAATCCTTTGTGCCTGGAGCTTGTCGCCCACTTCCTGAGGACCATCTGAAACTGATGGGACCACTGAAAAAATGTTACTGCAGTGGAAACAGAACCCCACCTGCTACGACCTAACAAGCACCCCATCAGAGGAGTCGGGGAAGCAAGGCAAACATGGACATGCGACAGGTTCTAGTTGTTGGAGATCAGTTTTAAGCACACGTTTTAGATAAAACTTTGAACCATCAAGAGGGGCTCAACATGTTTATGGAGAAAATCCATCTTTTTTGTGGTTTTTCCTTGAGCTTTGAAGGACTCTCATATACTCAAAATGCACTCCTTTACAAAAATGAATTTTAAAAATAGCCTTTTGAACTTTATCTAGAAAATAGCAGCTTCTATTCACTCCAGCCAGACACCCATTAGTCCACCACGGTGCACTCCACAAATCCTCGCACCATCAGTCATGGAGCTATTGGAAGGCCTTGACGAGCTATTAGATGATTTTGCCATGAAAACCTTCATTTACTTCTTCAAAACAAAAACTGCAGAGCACACAAAGGACTGTAGGGCCCGCGGTCACTTTCATTTTCAGTTCCTTTAGCAATTCCTGAAGCAAGGGCCAAGGTCTACTGAGAACAGGCAAATTACACCCACCCACCCCCAATTGCAAGATATTTCTGGTGATGGTGGTGTTGGAGAGAGGGCAATGGAAAAAGCCAAATAAACATACCGTACGGGGCACCTCCTGGTCTGGGAAGCCTTTCCCTTTAAGTGCAGTGCTGTTATGACTGCTCCCCAGGCTCCTCCACTCACAGCCCAACACAAGGCTTTAAACATGGAAACTGAAGCAGCCATGTGGAGACCCCTGCCAGCACTGACATGCTTACACACTCACTGATTCATCTTTCCTCCTGCAGTTGGCATCACTGTGGGTGTTTTGTGAGATTGAGGACGTTGTAGATCGGTGTTGGGCATATGGGCTAATGTTGGACTTATGGACTTGGGCAGCACTGGTTTGGGATGCTTTCTGTATACTTACCCTTTATACAAAACTCTCTCTTACACATATATGCATTTCTGTGGATTTGTTTCCCTAGTTTGCCCAGACTAACACAACCCCTTTTTAAAAAGAAACCCACTCTTTTTAAGAATGAATGGGTATTTGTTGTGCCTAAAACATCTACCTTCTGAAGGCACCTCTGTGGTTGCAGGTCCCAGCTCACCTGTGTGTGTGGCAGTGGGACAGGGACTCGAGGCTGCACACACAGGGAAGACTCAATAAATCTATATTGAACTAAAGTAAAAATGACTTGGGTTAAAAAAGGGGGTGGGGTGGAGCAAATGAAAATTTACAGTGAAATTCTTTAGGTATTAAAGTGAAGAAAACTCAATGTATACACAACTGTGCATACCGACTCGGTACATTCACAAGTAGGTATGTGATTCCACAGAATATGCCCATGATTATGCCCACATAAATGCCCATAATGGGACCCAAGCCCAAACTCAAATATCTACTGACTTTGTAATAACATTTACCATCAGACTAGTTCCTGTGCAGGTTATAGACTCACACAAATGCCTTAGCACATCTGAGTTTTTTAAACAAAATGCTCAGAGTCCATGGTAGATCTTCACTTGAATTCATGGTTCTATCGGTTACTAAAAGAACCACCTTGTTAGTTCTAAGCAGAGCTAACCCACTTACCCTCCACTCTCAGGAGATTGAAGGTGTCTCTCTGCAGATGCATCAGTAAACACAGAGGGAAACCAAAGCTGCACTCCCAGTATCCACAAGCGGGCTCATTTTGTTGTGTTCACAGCTTATCCACTCAGACCACCACTGGACGGAACTCTGAGAGGACTGATTACCACACCACAGACAGGCCGTTTCAAATCATGTAGAGATTACTTCTTCACTTTGCAAAACAGAGTCATTGTAGGACTGGCTCGATTATGGGGCGTGAGTCCTGGATTTCTTAAAATGTTTTTGATTAAGCAATTTCTCCAGATAATGATCACATAAATGTATACAATGGGTCTTCAAAAAAATTGCTGAGAAAATGCCATTGGCCATTGTTTTTTCATTTCCATTTTCCCACAAACATTGTAAAGCCTCTTCCTATTTATCTGTATAACAGACACACTAAGAGATTAAACGGTCTTAGGCTTGAGGCCCTAGACGTCCCAGTCAATATTTTAAAAACAGTAAGGACTGTAACAAAAAATATACCCCTACTAAAAAGCATTTGCTCAATATGAATGCCCAAGAACAATTTAAAATGCCCAAGAACAAATCTTCTCAATTCATTCAAACATATTAGATTTATATGGTATAAGACAGAAGATTTTCAAATATTTATAGAGAGTAACATGAGTCTAGTGGAAGTAAGTGATAAGAAAAAAATTTTTTTCTCCCTTTTAGTACCTAGTTAAAAGCTAGGTCTAATATTTATCTAGGCTATGGCAACTTTACACAATACTTACAAGAATTAACCCATAGAGTAAGAGAAGAGGGGTACCTAAGCTCAAATCCAGAATTAAACAGTTACTGTTAGGGTTTTCACTGGCTGATTTTCCCCCTCAAAAGTAGACCACTATGCTTTTTTCTCCTAATCTGTCTTAGTGTATTAGTCTGAGTTGACTAGAGAAATAAATTCATAGACACTCGTGTGTATAAAAGAGAACTTTATAGCAAAGAACAATTGTACATTAAGAAAACAGCCCAGCCCAGTCCAGATCAAGTCCATAAGTCCAATATGACTCCTTTATGTCAATACTAGTCCATAAATTCCTCTTTAGACTCACACAGTCATGCAATGACACCAAGTGCCGGAAGATCACAGGCCAGTGGGTGGAAAGTCTTGTGGCTCCAGTGGTGGTAGAAGCAGCTCAGCACTAGCGTGGGTCTTCACGTGGCTCCTCTAGCTCTAGGGCTCTGGCTCTATCAGCGTAGCTCTATGTGGCTTGTCAATAGGAATTCTCACAGGGAGAGAGCCTGTATCTGGCCTCTGATGAGCTATTTAATTCTGTTTGCACCTCCCAAATGAGGTCATCAAGCTGTGATCTGATTGAAAGGCTAGCCTCCACCCCTTCACTCCTAATAGTCTCAAATTGACACCAAATTATGTAACTACCACAGTCTGTAAGCTCTCAGAAGCCTGTTCAGCAACAGAGCAGCATGCAAGACTGTTGACAGACGGGTGGTAGCTGCACGTACGGTCTGCCCGCCAGGATTAAACTGAGCCCCCACATGAAGATGAGAATTCTATCATTGACCCACCAGTGTGGGTCCATTAGGGAGAGTTAAAACACATTAAAATTAACTTGCCAGATTTACCAACTGTCCAGAGAACTAAAGATGTAATTGGTCCCTGCAGGTGGAAAGATTTGCAGGACAATTTAAAAAGTAAAATCAGAACAGTTTTTAAAGTAGAAAAATCTAAGTGGATCTATGCACTTGGTGGCCACGTGCCCTTGATGGTGCTGACCCAGGGATGCTGCTGCCCTACCCGACAGCAGGGAATCACAGGACGCCGCAGGCAGGGATCCAGGCTCGCTCTCTCCTCCTGTGGGTCTTGACCTAGTGAAGTGCCGATGACATTCTCAGCCTCTAATTGCGCCTGCAGGTGTGAGATTTTGACTGCAGCACCCAGGTCTCTGTTCCCACTCACGGAGCACCTCGCACAAACAGAGCGAAGAAGAAGCACAATGAGCTTTTTCTTACCTGTCCAGAATGAGGTCTGGGGCAAAGATGAGCTTGCCCGGGTGATTGATGGAGCGCCACATGAGCCCCACCATTAGCACCTCCATCCAGCAGCTCTCCAAGAGCCGCACTTGGTCGTACAGGCTGAGCTCCACAAAGCCTGCGGAAAGTAAGAGGCTGTGAGACACGGCTGCCCGCCTGCCCTCCGCCCCAGCACCCTGCTTCTGTGAACAGAAACAAGTGGGTTTTCAGAGCTGAGAAAGACGAACAATTCAGAGAAATCATCAGTATTTTAGGGGGTGGTTGAATGCTGGCTAAAGGAAAGAAAACTTTGAATTTAAAATGTGTGTGATGCATTGAAGGAGCCTTAGTGGCACAGCGGTTAAGCATTTGGCTGCTAACTGAAAGACAGACAGCTCAAACCCACTAGCTCAGTGGTTCTCAACCTTCCTAATGCCGTGACCCTTTAATACAGTTCCTCATATTGTGGTGACCCCCCAACCATAAAATTATTTTCCTTGCTACTTCATAACTGTCATTTTACTACTGTTATGAATCGGGCAGCCCCTGTGAAAGGGTTGTTCGACCCCCCAAAAGGGTCACGACCCACAGGTTGAGAACCACTGCACTAGGTGCTCTGAGATGGAAAGTAGCAGTCGGGTTCTGTAAAGATCACAGCCTTAGGAGCCGACAGGGGCAGTTCTGCTGTTTTTTTAGGGTCATTAGGTGTCAGAACCGACTCAACAACAATAGATTTTTGGAGGGGAGGGGGTTTACATTGAACTGTCCCTAGTGGCTACCTTGTTTGTAATTAGGATCTTTCCAAATACTATCAGCTAACATGAAGCCCTCCCAGAGTACGGTAGGTCCTAATCCAATCCTAAAAACCAAACTCACTGCCATCAAATTGATTCTGATTTATAATGCATCTCTAAGACAAAGGAAATCTGCCCCTCTTGGTTCCCAAAACTTTAAATTTTTATAAGATGTAGACAGTCTCATCTTTCTCCAGCAGAGAAGCTGATGGGCTCAAACTGCTGACCTTGTGATTAGCAGCTCAATGTGTAATCCACTAAACCACGAGGGCATCCAACCTGAAGAGTGTCCTACAAAAAGAGACCGAGGGAAAACGGCCATGAGCAAACCAAGAACAAATTACAGAGCAAACCAAGGAACATCTGGGGCTGCCAGAGGCTGAAAGAGTCGACAAAGAGCCTCGAAGGGAATGTGGAGCTGCCGATGCCTTGAATTCAGACTTCCTGCTTCCAGACTTAAAACTAACTTCTGTCATTCAGAACCACCCGCTTCTGATACTTTGCTTCAGCTGCTCCAGCAACTACTACAGTGTGCAACTCACATTTCTAGCCTCAGACCCCTTCTACAGACCAATGTCCAAACCATGGTTACCTGGGCTCACCTGGCTGTCCAGGCATGTCGATGCCAGGGACCAACAGCCAGTCAGAGCCGATCTGTGTTAGTATGCTCTACATGCTTTCTCTGCTCACTGAAGTGGCGTGGGCTGCCTGCCTGACCCAGCCCAACTGGGGACAGGCGTAGACGCAAAGTGGGCGAAGGCAGACAGCAGCCCCAGACTCGAACGGACTCCTCCGGTTGTTTAAAATTTCCCACCAGTGTTGGAACCACTCTTGTGGTGGAAGCACTGTCTCTAGGCTACTCCAACCTAAAGGGAACGTGCAACCACTGAAGACGTACACAGCGAGTCTCAGGGGCCATGGGTCATATAGTGTCCAATGGGTCAGGGGTCATGGCATCCAAAGGGTCCAAGGTCATCAAAAACTCACTATCAAGTCCTAGTGACCCTATAGGACTGGGTAAAATGGTCCCTGTGGGTGTCTGACACTGTAACTCTTCACAGGAGTAGGAAGCCCCATCTTTCTCCCGAGGAGCGGCTAGTGATTTCGAAGTTCTGACCTTGCAGTCAGCAGCCCAGCGCGTCACCCTTACGCTGGAAAGAAACCTACAGCATCGCAGGAAGGTGAGTACTTCAAAAGCAAAGCAGAGATCACAGAGATTTCCTCCCCGGGACCATGATAGGAGGAGAGTGTAAGATGAATGTGGAAACCAAACACCCACCTTGAAGCGAGGCAGCATGGGTTTGACTCCCTGCTCACCTTCTTCATTTCTAGTTAAGCCTTTCTGTTTGTTTAATGGGACAGCCATAACTATGCCTGAGACATTCTGCAATGATTAAATGGACCATGCGGTGTGCAGCTAGCCAACATACTAAGAATGCTTTTTCCGTGAACTGTCGCTTGATCTTCCATTTCTACACGAGGAGGTAACGGGCCATCTGGGCTTTTGTCTCAGGGGAGGTTTATATATATATTTTTTAATTTCAATGTCCCATAAAGGTTTAGAAATGTCTTCGTATTGTATTAAAAACTTGTCGATCCACCTGTCCAACTGTTGAACATGTATAATATCCACAGTTCGTGGACCTCCAATTGTCCTCTTGTGCTCAACAAATTAACACATAAATTAACAAATAAATAGAAAATTAACAAATAAATAGAAAATGAAGACCTAGGAAAGCCTACCAGGGATTTTCTTGGCCCAGCCAATCATGTGCACCAGCTCCTTGTCGGCCAGCTTGGTCAGGGACATCATCATGGAGGCCTCCGTGAAGGGCGCGTTGGGGCGGCTCACAAGCACGTTGGGTGGCTCGGCCTCCAGGAGCGTGAGCACCAGCTGCTCGGGGCTCAGGGGGGTCAGTGGCAGCTCTTTCACTGGGGTCACGTTCCCACCGTTTTTCTTGGCTTTGCTCAGGCAGTGCAGCTGCTCCTCAGGATGTCTCTGCCTCCGTGCTACACGGTACCCACATCTTTCTCTCCGAGAGCCTGAGAGGAAAGCAGAGGTCCATACAGGGCTTTCCCCACCTCCTCCTCCACCCAACTGAGCAGGTTCCCAGGAGCCGCCTATCACATGCAGAGAACACCACCTTGTTGGCTGAAGGTGAAGAGGACTTGCGGACCTTAATAATGAACTTCAAAGACAGTACCTCAGGATAGACTGCCACTCAATGTAAAGAAAACAAAATTGCTTGCATTTGGGCCACGAGGCAACATCAAGATAAACAGAGAAAAGACTGAAGTGGTCAAAGATTTCATTTTAGAATAGAATATGCTTTTCAAGTACTTTGGATAGGTTATCACAAAGGATCATACTTGGTAGAGAGCCAGCCAAAGAGGAAGACCCTCAATGAGGTGGGTTGACCCACTGGTGCAACACTGAGGAACAGTCTGGAGGATGGAGTGTGACCGGGCAGGTCACTGTGGACTGGAGCTCATTCGATAGCACTTCATAACATTTTAAGAATAAAATTAGGACCACTGTGTCAATGCTCTGCCCCTCCCTATAGAACTGACTTGATGGCAGTGAGTTCGGTTTTGTTTTTCCCTTTTGATAAAAAATGCTTTATTTTTTAACAATTTAAAAGTCCAAATAGCATTTTATTTTGTACCTATAACATCACTTACTTAGAGTCCTTCCCCCGCCCCACCCCGGCCTTTTTTCCCAAACCAACGGCCTTACATTATTTATTGTTAAACTCTCGATGCAGAAGCATAAAAACCAAGGGAAAAAACAGATTATTTGCCAATATAAGTTCAATTGATCATGGTGGGAAAAGTCTTCATTCAATCCAACTCAGCATGACAGACCACTAATGAGCCTGGGCAAGTGCGGCCGTGCACGCCATCGCTCAGGGGGCTCCTGACAGACCCAGCGTGGTTCTCCTCCAGTGTCTTCTCTTGGAGTTGTACCTGACCTTATTACCGGTTTTCATTCAACCCCTTCGGGGAATGGGTGCATTCTGCTTCTGTTTCTTGGCCAGAAATCTCTTGATGCTGAAAGTCTTATGTGACGACATGGTGAAGTCGGAGAACCCCCACACTCAGGATGACGGAGAAACAGAGAGCTAGACTCCCCTTTTAATGGGCATTATTTGACTATTATAAATATTAAAGTGAACATGCCTTTGTCCCTCTTTAGAATAAACGCAAATCAAATTGCTGAGTCAAGATACTTAAAAATTTTAATAGTGACCAATTATCTTCCAAAATATTTAAAATTTTAGACCCTAAACAGTCCTTTATGAACTATCTGTTTTTCTCTTAACATCATTTAGCATTAGAAATATTTTTAATCTTTACTGATCTTAGAGATGTGCATATAATCTTTTTACTTTACATCTTAAATTTAAAAAATAATTAACTATTTTTTAGTTAACTATTAAATAGCAATAGTTTCTATTTCTTCTACTGTGAATTGCATATTTATTTTTTCCGTTTTTTCTAATAAAGGCCCTTTATATAGTAGTAATAAATATAACTATAATTTATTATAAGTGATAGTGATCTTGTTTGTTCCTTACTTCTCAACATTGCTCAGTCAAATTATCTTTTTTCCATACCAAGATTTTATAAACATTCTCCTCTATCTTCTTTAAGAATTCTTATGGTTTGAATATGTGGTGGTTACATAATCTCATGTCAACTTGATAGAGGTTGATAGGGATGAAGACTAGCTTGTCAAACAGGCCACAGCCTGATGATGCCTCCTAGTGGGCGTGGCCTTCTTGTGAGAATTCTGGGAACTTCCTCTTTTTCTGGGAGATGGGCCAAACTCTGTGCCTCCCTTTCCTTCTTTTGGGACACTCGAGGAGCTATATGGAGACCCTCGTCAGCACTGAGATGCTTCCACCGCCACTGGATCCACAAGACTTTTCACCACCGGCGTGTGATCTCCTGCATTCGGCATCATTGCATGTGCTAAGTAAGCCTGAAGAGGAATTTACGGACTAGTATTGGACCTATGGGCTAATATAAGACTTATGGACTTGATCTGGATGGGAGGGGGATGTTTTTTCAATATACAATTGCTCTTTCATATAAAGCTCTCTCTTACACATATGAGTGTCCACCCAGACTAAAACAGAATATAATTGGAATTTTATGTGCATTTTATATCACATGATATAAGTATTTCATGTTTTATTTTTCTAAATATTTAATTTCTTCATTACCATTTATAGACTAAGTTTTCCCCCATTGATTTAAAATGCCTAGTTATTTAATAAATAATTATAATAAAAGTATATTTTTGGATGTGCTATTCCTGTGCTTTTAACTAAATATTTTACTTGCTGTAGGTTTATAAATGAGAACACATTGGATTGTGTCTTTAGATGGTGAGGAGAGTGAAATGCTCAATTTAGAACTATATTCCCAGTTAGACTAGCTAGAAAACCAAAACCACGCCACTGAGTTGATTCTAAGTCATGCTACTGGACCTAGCGGAACTGCCTCTTTGGGTTTCCGAGGCTGTAAATCTTTACCAGAGCAGAAGCTCGCTCTCTTCTCCTGAGGAGAGGAGGGCGGATTCAAACTGCTGACCTTACCATTAGCAGCCCAACAAGTAGCCTCCTATGGCACCAAATTCACTTCAGTCAAGTCAATTCCAACTCACAGTGGCCCTACAGGACAGAATATAACTGCCTCTTTAGGTTTCTGAGATTGTAAATCTTTTCAGAGGCAGAAAAACTCATCTTTCTCCCGAGGAGCAGCTAGTGTGTTCGAACTGCTGGCCTTGTGGTTAGCAGCACAATGCATAGCCCACGATGCCACCAGAGCTCCTTCACCATGAGGAGAAATGAAAGACTTTTTCAGTTAAATATTGCCTATGATTCACAGACTCTTGGAAACAACGATTATGCTATGTTCTTTGGGAAAGAAAAATGAACCAGATGGAAAGAAGGAAATTTAAGTAATAACGTTAAGAAAGTAAATTGAAAAAGTGTGTAAATATTTTTAAGGCTCTGAATAAATCATAGTAATTCATTTGTAAAAGGGTAGAAACAAGGTGAAACCAGACAATAATATATAAAATGAAAGAGGAATGATTCTGGTTAGAACTTTCTAAGACTCCTAATTTGGAAAGAGAAATATTAGAGATACTCAAATGATTCAAGCATACGTGTTAAAAATAGAATGCTATCACTAAAATAATTGAAACAACATATGATTAGTAGCAAAAGAAAACGTAATCAACTCTGAACAGGCAAAAGAGAACATATGATAAAAAAAATTTTAAGCAAAAAATAAGTTAGAAATGAATTTATATATGAGATCACAATAAAAGTAAACAGTCTGTCAATATAAGTCCATATAAGCTTTATGGTAATAAAGTCATTTTCAGGAATAAGGAGGTGTCGAGTGCTAAAATAAGTAAATCACCTGAAAGATATGTAAGTCTAAACTTATATGTCCAGAACAATCAAACATCAACAAATAGGCTTCCAACATAACACATGATGATGGCTGAAACCCCGTTTTCATGAGCTGTTTTAACAGGACTCTCAGCAACACAGCAAACAGGAAAAGAAAAAAAGTCAGAATTTCAAACATTTGAACCATTCAGCTTTTATACAAATTTTCTCTGTAAATATACTAAACGTTTAAATCTGCAAAATGCCTACTCTCTCACCTCCTATTAGTATATTTGTTCATTAAATGCATTTGTCTACATTTTCAAAAAGAAATGTTCATTAGAGGGTTTGAGTAAATTTAAATTACTGGCTCCCGAGGACATTTAGCAGCATTTCCTTACTCTTAGTGAACTGAACCCATTCAGGTACATTTAAACCAAATTTATTGCTAAAAAAAATTAAACACCTAAAGTATAATTCATTTTAGTTGTGATCAGAGTGGTAAAGGGGCTATGGATTAAACCCTCAGTAAAATGGAACAAAAAGTATGGTGTAAGACAGTAGCTTTTAGATCGTGCAAGCCTTTTCTGTCGTGTGTATGAGGCGATCCGCTGAAAAGCCTGGCGGTGACTTGAGGGCTAAGGTGTGCCTGCCTCCAGCCCTGGCATTTATTTACCTCATCCGCGCGTGAAAGCTGGCTCCTGAATGAGGAAGCCTGAAGGTAATGGAAGCATTAGAACTGTGGGGCTGTGATGACTATGGAAGGTGCTGTGAGCTGCCAAAAGGACAGAGACCAGGAAGAGGTCCAGGGAAAATGAATACCCAACACCATGAGGATATGAAATTTATACACAGATTACATCCCCAGAGGGAACATTTGTCATGTGTTTACTTATATAAATTTGACCCAATTTCATTGACAATGTACCAGGTCCTACACTATATGCTGGGGGGCTAAAAGGGTCACTGAAAGAAAGACCTTGTCAAGGAACTTACATGCGTCTGTTCAAGGGCATCTTAAGCACAGTGGCTTTGACACATAGTCCCGGGCAGCTGCTACTGAACGAGCTTCATGAGAAACTCTACCAAACAGGTTGACTAGACAGTGGGAAGCTGTTGTTGTGTTTGTTGTTGTTGGGTGCCATCAAGTCAGTTCTGATCCACAGCGGCCCTACACACAACAGACCACAACAGTGCCCCGTCCTCACAATTGTTCCTGTGCTTGAGCCCATCCTTGCAGCCACCGTGTCCATCCATCTCATTAAGGGCCTCCCACTCCTTTGCTACCCACCCCTCTGCTCTACCAAGCATGAAGGCCTTCTCCAGGGCCCGGCCTCTCCAGACAACGTGTCCAAAGTGCATGAGATGAATGAAGCCTCACCCTCCTGGCCTCTACGGCGCTTCTGGTCGTGCTTCTTCCAAGACAGATTTGTTGGCTCTTTAGGCAGTCGATGGGACTTTCGCCAGCACACAATCCAAAAGCATCTCTTCAGTGGTAATAACCCCAGCCAAAAGATGATGATGCCAAATGACAGCAGTCGCTAACATCTTCTGGAAGCTTCTATGAGCCAAGCATTGAGTACTGTACTGACAACTGCTGTGGAGACTGGTGCTATTAGTACAGGTGCTATCTCAATTTCAGAGGGGGAACCAGGAGAAAGACAGTGTAAATAATCTGTTCAAAGCAGCAAAAATAGAAGATAACAGAAGTCAGTGCTAAACCCAAATCACATTTTGAATCCAAAACAGCCTCCCTATTAAACCTTTTCATGGAAATATACACCGAACCAAGGCAAACCAACAGCCAGCGTCCATTCTGATACATAGCAACCCTCTATGGAGAGTGTATACTGCAGGTGAGTTAGAGCTGGTACTTGATGATGCTGAACCGTCATCCCAACACAAAAATACAGACCAGATAGAGCTACTATTGTTCTACTGCTTATTGCAGTTCAGTGTTTGTGTTGCGAAGCCTAATCCCTAAAGTTAGTCTGTGTGGGTATCCTCCTATAATTTAAATTAGAATCATATTAATATGTCAATAGAAAAGACAAGATTGAAAGTGTATAAGACAGCGGTTCTCAACCTATGGGTCGCGACCCCTTTGGGGGGGGTCAAACGACCCTTTCACAGAGGTCACCCAATTCATAACAGTAGCAAAAGGACAGTGATGAAGTAGCAATGAAAATAGTTTTATGGCTGGGGGTCACCACCACATGAGGAACTGTGTGAACTGTCAGAAATGTATTTTCTCACTCTTCAGTAGGAGTCTATTCTGACTCACAGCAGAGTAGGGCTGCCCCTGGGCTTCGAGACTGTAAATCTTTATGGAAGCAGACAACCTCCTCTTTCTCCAGCAGAGCAGCTAGTGGGTTTGAACTGCCGACCATGTGGTTAACAGCCCAATAGTCAACCCCCTGCACCATCAGGACTCTTTTCAGGAGGCTAGGAGGCTTAATCCGGGGCACTGGCTTGAGGGGAGGCCCTCTCTGGGAGAAAGTCCTTGTTGCTGCTTCTCTGCCCTGGCTTTTTTGGTTCCTTGGTGTCTCCCCGTGGTATCTGTCTTCTCCTCAGTGTACTTGTTTCACTTTATCCCCAATTTGATCTTCTGTATCTCACAAGCCAGTAGGTTTAAGTCACATCCTACACGGATATGGCCTGGTTAGCCTAACAGAGAAAACTCTATTCCCGATTGAGACTACCTTCACTGACATAGGAGCTGAAACTCCAACCTATGTTTGGGGGACACAATTTAATTCATGCCAGTCGGTAAATGGCTAGGGGGAAAGGCAGTGGGGGGATGCGATGAGAAGGGGAGAAGGAAGATTGAAGCACGCTTGCTCCTGGTGCTCTGTCTCAGTGGTCAGTGAGGATATTTACAGCGAAAGGCGAAACAGCCAATGGTTTGCTCATGAACTCACCCTATTTTTTCTGTAATCACCAAAAATAATCTTTTCTTTCCTACTTAGAGATTCTAAGCCAGTGACTTCCTGGCCAATTGTAATGCCCTTTTCTTCCATTCCCTGGCTCATGAAAGAGGCTGTGACCACATCAGGCACCCCACCTCATGAGACTGCACCAAACCAGAACTCACGGCTTCTTTCTGCACTCACCACTGAGCTATCTTTTGTCCCTGAAGGAAAGAGAAAAGGGAGACTTAAAATGAGTGCCCGACACTTTGCTGAGTCTCTATGTATGTTTTCACACGTAATTCTCAAGAGTCCACTGAGGCAGACGGTGCATTTCAGAGATAAGAAAACCCAGGGCCAGAAAGGAGAGGTAGGTAGGATGCACACAGCCTCCATTAGCAACAAGTGGTGAGCATGAAGGAGCAGATCCAGACCCTGGGAGCCATCCTCAAGCTCTGCCCACCTCCCACTGCCCCTCCAGGTGGTGCCTCCATGTGCAGCTGCCCAGGGTCCTGAATCAGCAGCCAGCCAACAGCCCTTAAGTGCAGTAAAAGTATTCTCGTCCCAGGACCAACTAACCAAATAATAAGCAAAATATTATTTAACTTCGTGAAGCATTTTATTTGCAATCTCATTGTCAAAGGGCAATGGACCGCTCCCTGAGCAGTGTTTCCTGCATAAACCACACCCATGGTACATTGTCTCCAAATTCCAATTTCACTTCTCCAAAAGAAAGCATTTAGACACGTAGGAAGTAACCTGAGACGGCAATCTTCCTGCGTTTAGGATTGGTCTCTCTCCGATCTGGGCCACACCTAACTCAGTAAGCATTACAGCCTTTTACAGAGCTTTCAAAGCACCCAATTTAGCTTTCCTGAAGACAACAGGTCTTTTCCTACTGGTTTTGCATGTTTACAAAAGCGATACAATGCCAACCAGTACCACGAATAGAACCAAGTGTGGGAAGAAGGCCCTTAAAATGCTGGGAACAGAAATGCTGCAGTGTTTTAAGGAGTGAAAACAGATCAGGGGCAAGGGAAGGATGATGCAGAGAGAAAACAGACAGGATCCGCGATCCAGTGAGAGAGCACT